CGCTCAACGCAGGAGCTGCCATGACGCCCACTCGCCATTTAAAAATAAAAGGCACCAGGGACCTGGTGCCAACAAACCAACAATGGGCTTCTGCCAAGTGGGACACAGGCCACGCCACCACCCTGGAGCGCCACCCCACCAAATCACAGCCAACGCTGCTAAGTCCCCCTGGTGCAAAATGCAGCCCACAGCCCAGCCCATTACCCGGTGGCTGTGGGCACTGGGTAATGATGTCACCTAGCAACGCCTGGCTTCTTCTCCCTAGCAACTAGCCTCCTTGCAGTTTCTTCAGCCCAGGAACACGACATGCTTTATAGCCAGGTGCAAACATTTTATACTTTAACCAAATGTTTGTGAAACGTTTTCATGTGCCTCATCTCATTTGATCCTCACAGAAGTGCTGGATTAGGTAGATAGGAGACTTGGTGAAATCCTATTTTCTTTTCATTAGCCGGAAAACGGAGATTTAGAAAGTTTAGAAACTTGACCCGACTGAAAAGAAGTAAGAAATGGTGGAACTTGTAAATGACTTCAGGTTTTCTCACTGCACACAATATAGTCAAACACTGCTACAGCTAAATATTTTACCCTTTTTTCTCCCTGCATGATCTACAATAATAATCTGCTTCATGTTGATATTTACTGCTCTGTTGCTGACAATTACCTGAAAGAGAAGTTGGGATGCTTCACTGGGCTGGAAAAAGTTTAACTACATGAGAAATCAGGTCTAATTAAGCAAGTTTATATCTATAAAAGGCTAAGTTGACACGTGCATGCGCGATACATATAAAGCTCTCGCTGGTGCCAATCGCATGGATTTGTTTCGATCTGTCATTGTCAATCGTGAATTTGGTTGACACTTCTATTATAGGTAAAGAACAAATAGCGATATTAAAATATTTCTTCTAATTAATTTCCTTTCAATGTGCACGAATCCATGCACCAGACCACTAGCTGATGTTAGAAAAAAATACAGGTTCAGCCAAAATCGGTTTGGCTCAGTGGATAGAGCGTCTGCCTGCGGACTGAAAGGTCCCAGGTTCGATTCCGGTCAAGGGCATGTACCTGGGTTGCGGGCACATCCCC